GGGTTCATCGCGAACCCACAGCTGGGTTCATCACGAAGGTAAGAAAAAAAAAAGAAAAAATCTCGTGGGTTCATCGCGAAGGTAAGAAAAAAAAGGAAAAAAAAAAAAGAAATAAAAGGCTGAAAGAAGGAGAGGATGGGGGAAGAAAATGAGGGTATATTGGTAATTAAAAATAAAAAATTTGGCAATGTCATCAAGTTTTGCCAAATAGATTTTACACGTAATTTAAGTAAAGAAAAAAAAAATTTTTTCCGTTAGTTAACATGCCATGTAAGCAAAAATTTAACGGAGGGACCAAAAAGGAGTCGGATTTGTGAACAGTAAGGATCAAAAAGGGGATTTTTTCGGTATAGGGACTAAAAAGGGGCTTTTTCCTATAGTAGAGGGACCAAAAAGGGTATTTAACTTATGTATTTTGATCAATGTTTTTGGGTTCGGTCCGGTGGTCGACTCGTTTTGATCACTGATTTGGTTTAATTAATTGAATCGGTTCACTCAACTGGTCTAATCGGTCAACCTAAAAAAACACTCTTTTAAGTTTTTGACGATATGTTCGATGAGCTGTTGCAGATTCTGATTTCTGCTGCTGCTTCTACTCATTGGAGGCGGGAAAAGAAGAGGAGCGGTGGAGGAGATGAGGAGGAGGTGCTTGGCGAAGCAGATGAGGCAGATGAGGACATCGTGATCGACGAAGGAGATGAGGAGGAGGTGTTCTGCGGAGGAGATGAGGCAAATGAAGATACCGTGATTGACAGAGGAGATGAGGAGAAGGTGCTCGACGGAGGAGATGAGGCAGATGAGGACGATCTGTTGATTTTATTCTGTTTTGCTGTGTTGCTTGGCAGAGGAGATGAGTGATGAGGACGATCGGCTGGACGCTGAGTTGTGGTGCCGTCGACGGAGGTGGCTGAGATCTGGAGCTCGTCGATGGTTCCTTCTGTTTCTGGCTGCTTTCTTTTGTTCTGGGTTTTACAATTTACAGAGAGTTTTCTTTGTTTCTCCATGATTTCTTATGGCTTTTTCATCAGATCTTTTTTTTTTTTTTTTTTGAAACCATCACCTTCTTCGCCTTATCATCTTCTTTCTTTC